GTGTGTTATACAGGTTTTTGTTCATGTAAATGGTCTACAAAGGCTACAAGTTTCTCTTCCCCCCCCCGCCTGAAACACCTCCAGGTTATGCTAGCCTATAATGTATTTAATACAATATAAAGCATTGTTACAGGCCTGTGGTTTAAAATATAGAAAATAATCTCAATTTACATTTTTATTCAGAAAAACAACAAACACATTTCCCCACCTATAACCATCAAATTGTAACCAAGCAAAACCAATAAAATGTATGTGAACTCAGGGGAAACAGACCGCTGAAAGAATGCAAGGTTTTATTTCTTTGCCAGATTTTCCCGGCTGGAATCAAAGCGCCGACCTTTCTGTGACCTTAAAGCTCCTGTGGCCTCTCAAAGGGACATTTTATCGGGCCCTCCACACGCCAGGAGCCACTAAAGCTACTCGTACACATCAATCAGCCAAAAAAAGGCTGTTGACCAGTTTGCCGCACCGATGCCTTTGAATAACTTTGCTTGTGCTTTTCTACAACTCCCCAGCCACTCCACATTTCTAACATTTCATCCCTGCGAGTGCGGTAAATTGCATTTGTCGATGTGCAGATCTGTAGACATTTACTCGACTACAGTGTTAGTGTTTGTAAATCTAAGAAGGAGGGGGGGATGTGTGGAGTGGAAGTAGAGGGTGACCTTGGGGCAGGAAGGCACGAGCAAGACTAATGTGTTAAACTGTACACACACAAACACACACACACCATCAATATGTCAAGGCAGGTGTTGCCTGATGTCATTCAGAGTGCTCTGTTGATTTGCTTTGGTTGTAAATTGATCCCTGAGAGTTTCAGCAGCACAAGAGCACCAAAAGCAAACTGACCACAACATTTATAAAGATCTTGGAAAGCCAAAAATAAAATACACGTCTCCGTTGTTGTTTTTTTAAGTCACTCTCCATGAATGATTTGAGAGACTGTATGTAAATACACTGATATGATTTTTGATTTGGTTTTACATAGGTTTCCTACAATATAAGGTTTTGAGAACTTAAAAAAGGTTCTGGAAGCAGATCATCTTTCTCCCTCATTGAGAAATTAAAGATGTGGCCTTGCATCGACCACCTCTGCATGCGTTACGTTGACCAGTGAGCATCAATATCCACTCAGAGCCGAACAGTGTTTGCGGTTGTAAAAAAAACAATATATGGTGGGATTTGTATAGCTTTTATTCATGTACCTGTGTTATTCATGTTTTATAGGGAAGTAACGATACCAAAAACTCACGGTGCGATAATATCGCGATAACAGGTCCACGGTACGATATGTATCGCGATATTGAAAAAAAAGGGAAAAAAAGAAAGTTGAAAATGTTTTGGGGAAAATGTTATCTTGGCATTTTTTTTTTTTTTTTACTTGAAAAAATAAATCTGATTTGTACAGCATTTTAGTAGGATAGTAGTATTTTAAAGTGTCAACAATATAATAATCAGACCCTGCAATACAATAAATCAAGTTTCACTTTAGTTTTTCAAGTAACTCAACTCAAACTCACTAACTCACTCACTCAGCATCATCAGACAGGTTATTTTTTAGGAATATGAGCATGTCCACATTTCCAGGTAGAAGCTGGGATGTTTGGGCGTTTACAATATCCCCTGCTGTGGAAAAAACTCTCTTGCTTGGTACTGATGTTGCTGGGACAGAGAGATATGCTTTGGCCATGGGTGACAGCAGTGGGTCAAACTGTGCATTGTCTCTCCACCACTTCAAAAACAATACAGTTTTTGCCAAGAAGGTGAGGCTTATTGACAGGGCGAGATATACATATACTGTTGGTACTTGTCAATGTCTCTAGGTATGTAAATAGCCCTGTAAATACGATGTCCTTTTGTGTTATCTGTTGTTTTGTGTTCATGTTGTAACCTACTTGCTGCCATGTTGGACAGTTCTCCTGTGAAAAAGCGATCAATGATCTCAATGGGACCACACCTGGTTAAATAAAGTTTTTTTTTTTTTTTTTTTTTTTTTTTTAAATCGCGGTAGATTTTGATTATCTTTGCTTTTAAATTAGAGTTTTTAAATTCCATTTTATAATGTGTTTCTGCTGCACTTTTTCTTAATGTCTTTCATTTTTGTAAAGCACTTTGAATTGCCTTGTGTTGAAAGGTGCTATATAAATAAACGTGCCTTGCCTCTCCTTGCCTAGATAGTGGAAGAAGGCGCCAGGGTCCAGTTTACATTTGAAGACATCAAACTCAACCATGTATCCTGTCAAAACCTTCGCTGAGTTAATGCTAACTCTTTGTACTCACAAGTCAGCTGGAGGTTGGATTTGGCTGTGCAATACAAAGATTTGACTTTTCGTTGCGCTGAAGGTCATTTGGTGTGGGAGGATCTCTACCCTGTGTGGCTGGACTTCCTGGCCACATGTTATCCCTGGCAATGAACTGTAGTCAGATTGGAAAAAGTTGGGGTGAAGGTGGCTCGTGCTTTAGCTGAGATGCCCGGACCTTGAAGCTTTCTGATGCCGTTTCTCTCCCTGCAGTGAAGAGAAAGGCCCACTGCTTCTGGTGCAACTGTCACCCAGGTAGACCGCTCAGTTTGTCAGGGGTTACAATGTCAGTAACTCACCGTGTTGTCTCGAAAAGCAGAACCCATCTTGTTTGCTAAGCTTTCTGGGTATGACCTTTTAGCTGTGACGGAGTGATAAAAGAGAATGACGACCTGAATGAGGGTCGACTGGCGGGTCACCGATGGATAAAATGAAACATCGACTTTCAGGAGGCAGCCATAAATTAGACAGCATTTGGAGGTTTCTAATTTGTGACATACCGAATGTAGTTGGCCCGGTGTAAGCTTCAGAATTTAGAAAAGTGCACAGACATCTCCTTGTTTAGTATAGAGGAATGTGAAAAGACCTCTATATTGACAATCTTTGCACAGATACAAGCCAGTATAGCCAAGGTTAGACATTTGAGGGGGATAAACATAAGGAAAACACATACTGTATGAGTGGATGGGATCTTACATCAATGTATTTATTATAACTGGTCTCACAATGGAGTAAAGCTTAAACAATCACTTGTTCCTATAATCATAATAATTCTTAGTTGCAGCCTACACTGTAGTTTAAGAGCACAATTTACTTTTTTGTGGACATGCTGATTAAAACTATATTTGTATTTACTGCAGAGGACCAAAAGAACGTTGGTTACTTCCTCATTAGGAGCTGCAGAGTCTCACAAACACCTGGAAGTTTCCCAGTGAAACAGTCTGCAGCCACTGAGCAGCTCCACTGGTGCACAGGTGCAGATTCAGCGCTGTGTTCAAGGGCATCTCGACAGCGCTGATGGATGGACGAGTGCCTCTTGTTCAATTTATCCATTCAGATCCCTGTCGTCATCCTTGAGATTCAAACTGGTGAACTAATCTTGCATTTCAAGGCACATCTTTTATTTACTGTAGTCAGAGAGTTCAGGGAGAGTTAGCACAACTAGTCGGCATGATTCAGTAAGAACTGAAGCTTGTTGGCTCAAACTGCTGGCGGATGGATACTGTTCTTCAGTTTTTGGAGAAGCCAAGGAAGGTGAAATACAAGTAAGCTGATATACCGGTCCTCAGTAGAGAAGGATTTCAATGTCTTTTAGCTGCCAAATTGCTTTTTGGCAACACATAACAAATGGGTGGTGCATGAAACACCTGAGGTTGGTTCACAGGTTTACACAGTGATTCAAAGGGCTGATATTCCAGAAGATGCATGCCCTTTTTATAATATCACAGTGCACCAGCAAAGCCCCCCCCCCCCCCTGCTGTTTGTCACTGAGCAGCTCCACTGTGGCGACCGCTGACATTAACAGCTGAGGGCACTCATGTTTGAGATGAAACAATTTGCAACTAATCAATAGCGTTGATCGATTAGCAATAGCTGTTTCAAGCTTCACAAATGGGAGCATTTGCAGTATTTTTGTATGGTGTGTAAAACAAGAGATCTACACATCCCTTGAGCACTGGGAAACTGGTTTAATATAAAATGTATTCTTTATGCGTTTGTTTTATCTATTAAGCATATTTGTAAAATATGTATTTTCTTTGCTCTTGGTTAACATATTACAGTCAACTGACCTTACAGATTGAAAAGGTCAAATGTTTTCCTCAAAATAAATAAACGCTTTAACTTCCACTGCACAGCTTCTGCAGACATGCCAACACAATCAGCATAATGTTAGACACAACCAATACATTAGATATGCACAGTGGCCAGTCTTTCTTATGAAGGCTACCTTATTGGTCTGTCTTGCTGAACTCACAACAAAATGGAAGACAGCTCTTCTGTAGTAGGCTACTCATGTATGTCAAACTTGATCCAAAAACTCGTGAGAATGCAAACCAGAGATGTGGAACAGCAGGTGGTATCCTCCTGAATCTCAAACAGCCCAGAGCCACAGTGTCTGCTCCGCTGCACAGTTTATAACTCGCATATATTGTCAGGGTAGCGATGATGCTGATATGACTTTATAAAAACACACACTATATCCAGGCTGGACTGAGAGTCTCAACCATCAACACAAACAGAGCCGCGCGCCAGCAGCTGTATGACGCACACCTGTAACAGCTCCTCTAATGATAAACATAAAGACTACTGCTAATTTACTATTAATAACGGAAGTGAAATCCAGCTAATAAAGCTGGTTTTGGCCCAAAAAGAGTGGGCTGAAGTGTTAGCAGCGGACCGGCGGTGGGGTGCTGCTTACTGGGGCTACGGAGATGCCAAACACCATCACAATGAGGGTGAAATATACGCCACAGATAAGACGCGCACAGATGGCGCGCAATTGCAAGGCAGAATAGAGGTGACAGTGTTTTATATATGGGGGAACAACAGACATGTCAGAGGCAACTTATCGGGGAAATAGTGGTCGCCCCTCCGTCTATCCGCGGAGCAGTCCGCCACAGAGACACCTGAGTGCGGGTACGCAGTCGCGGTGTCATTGACGCAAGTGGCTACATTAAGAAAAAAAGAAACAGCACTCACCTCTTTAGTGTTAACGATGCCTTTGACATATTTCCCGAGGACTGAATCTACGAAGAAGCCGCTGCACAGCAGAGCCATGCACAGGAGTCTCTCCCCGACCCTCACCTCCATCTTTCTCCCGGCTGCCGCTCCTCTGCTCTCTCTGGAGCCTGTCTCTGAGCGGGGGCGCGCAGCAGAATGGGATCGCGCACAGCAGAGAAACCGGGCGCGTCCACGTTGGTCCTTTCGATGTATGTGTGGCCCCCCTGGATGTGAGTGTGGGGGGTTCAGGATACGCGCTCCCGGTTGCGCTCGTGCTTTCCTGAATGCGACACGGCCACACATTAAAAATGCTTTGGCTGATTGCAATCATGTTTTGATCAGAGGTCACGCACCTCCAATGGAGAGGAGCTGAGACACATGATGCCTGCCCTCTGGGAGGAAATCACATCACACCAGCTGGATACAGATCACCGGGTCTAATGGGCTGTATTGCTGCTGAATTTACATTTTAAGTGATTTGATGATCTGTAATGAAGTTAAAGTCGAGTCTATAAGCACTATGTCCTATATATAACTCCTGCATTCAAACAGAAATATCAGCAACATGTAGGCTTAATTGGGTTTCAAAAGTAATGCAAATTGTCCAACTGTTCACAAGTATGTTATAACATATTAGTTTATTTTTGTTTTTACTGATGTTGAGTAATTGAATACATAGAAAAAGCATATTTTATAAACGTATTCTCAACGAAGAAATACAAATATACCTATCATCATAGAAATCTTACAAGATGTATTTTTTGTTCAATTGGATCTGACACTTTATACAATTCACAAAGGTCAACCTTGTAAATGACCTTTCCCAAAGGCCTGACTTAATCAACATTTGGGTAAAAAAGTATTTGCTATTCACAAATTCATATATAAAATATGCTTTGGGATAAAAACTAAAAGAGGCCAGCTAGATTACATTATAATTTCCATATCTTATTCTCAGCGACTTTTAGTTAACCTTTAGTTTGATCAATGCAAAGAGACATTTTGATTCACGAACACAACTGCAGGTTCATGGGAGAATATATTTATTTAGATAAAAATCAACAAAGGAAGAAACCAGCTGACTCGTGGCGTATCAGACACAACATTGAAGAATGCAACCTGCAAATCAAATCATCAATCATTCGATCAACACATCTGAAAGTAGAGATATCTACATGAATCATAACGTTTGATATACATTCTTTTTTTTGGTGTTTTGAATTAAATAAAGAAAAAAACCAAGTAAACTTAAAACCGCTTTGTTTCCAGTCTATGGCTTGTTTTCTGAAAAACCAGTATTACATTTTGCGGCGCAGTGTGCATAAGGAGAGCAGACAGAGTATGGCACCGACTGCATTATCATCAACAGCAAACACTAAATGGCAAGCAGCACATCCGTTAGGAGACTCCGGCTGCAGTCTTTGGTTCCGTTTTGAAGCGCTCGAGATATATTTAAGATAAGTAACTTAGTGATCAAATTCATATTTTTCATTTGCAAACATTTCTGAGAACTGGTTGAGGTCAGTCGCATCAGAGCGTTGATGCATTTATGAAAGAATGAGGTTTCAAGGAAGTTTGGTATACATTTGGTATAAAGAGCCAACTATGAAATCCAACCTTGATAGATTGCACAACAATAAATTGCATCACAGCATTTCTGATGGAGTGTGTGAAAGATGATGAGATGCTGGTGTGTTAACTGCATAGCTTGTTAATGTTGTAAGCAGCGAGCTCACGTCTGTAGCAGCGTTGCACTTTGCATTGCACTTTTTCAAATAAATCAGCCAGGGGCAAGAAAATCTCACATAAGAGCTTTAAAAACTGGAGGTACGTTGTTCAACCTGATTATCAAACAAATAAAAGATAAAAAGCAACATTACACTGACGACTACAACTTGATTGTTTTTACAAGGACAATTTGTGATTACAAAGTATATGGACCATCAACAATTAGACGCTATAAGGCGACAACACTCACTGAAAAAAGTACTTCTGCTTGAAGCTGCAGGAAGTCAAATAAGCATCGGCAGAACCACAGAATGCCAGGAATGGGAAAACTTAAAAAAAAGGTAACACTGCAAACATTTTCATCCAAAACAGCATGGTTGATGCATCCCCTGCAGTCAGGGCAGCCGGATGCATGAGTGGTCATTAAGGGTAAGAGGCATAAGGAGGTCTATGAACAGCAAGTGGAAACTGACACACTTTTGAAAAAAAGTGCTCTAGTCGCCCACATACTTTATACAACAAAGTGCTAATGGCCGATCAACCCTGCTAGGCTTCATAGGCGGTAGAGATTTCAGGACTGATGAAGAAGTCATGTTGATGTACAGAACATCACCGACACAACACATAGTCCAATAGTGTCTTGAGGTTGTTTTAACAAAAGATTATTCATGATTAATACTTTAAATAGTCTTTTGACCATTAGTAAAGTGCCATTCGTGTCTCGGTGTGAACACAGGACACAAGCTCATGTTTCTCACACACACACCAGAGACTAGTGTGCTCATGTAGAATCAACCTGAGCCACACATACAGGCACCAAGAAAGACATAAAACAAGACAGTGACATGTAACCTAAACACACACTTGCACAGAACTGCAAAATACTGTAAAATTGTAGAAAAAGCTGCTAATAAAGCAACTTCAGCTGGTGTCTCAGAGTGAACAAGTGCATTACTGTCTTCCTCTTCGCCACCCTGGTTCTTTCCATCAATCTGACTAAAAATATTGCAGTAAGTGCTGGGAGTTGACAGATCTAAGCATGGTCTAATCCTGTAGCATGACTTTTCTGCTGAAAATCCTGCTCTTCTTCTACAGGGGGGGGGGGAGGGGGGTTTGCAGTCGGAGCTTCAGCTAAATCCTATTCATCACACAGCATCCTTCTACACAGACCTGGCAGACCTGGCCCTGCTGCCGGAGAAGGACGCAGCCAGCATTGTTGGCATCTATATTTAGTTGGACCTGATCGAGGGACTGACCCTCAGAAGGACATTTTCGTGTGCTTCAAAGTGCTTCGGTGGCAAAAAGCTCAGAGGAGTACCCTCAGCTTAATGAAATCAAAGTTAACCCCAAATGTAATTGTGGGGAGGAAAAGCACCCGGTCCACCAGCCGCTCTCAGTGGGCCAAATACAAGTCTAGTGGCTTTTACACAGCACTCCTGCAATCTGTTTTTCTTCTTATTTTTTTTTATACTTAAGTTTTTCCTGAGAGCCTCCGAATTGTAGAAACCAATTTTCAGGCAGGAAATCCCCCGATTCAAGACAAGTGGTACTTTGACACACTGCATACTGTGCAGAGAAGTAGTGAGCGAAAAACGCCTGGTGAGTAACAGGGACAATCTGAGAGGAAATCAGTGGAGTTTAAAATGTGTGTTGATAGCTGAGGGCTTTTTGCTACCCCTTTCTCTCCTACTCTACTTCTGAAGAACTCTTTCCAGTCTCAAAAGGGAAAACAACGTTTGGGTCTCTTAGACATATCAGAGCCATGATTGTTCTTAACAGACTTGGAATGGGACCCAAATATGTAAGCATTGACTTCAGGAAATCTACACAAATGTCACTGTAGCAATGAATAGAGATGCAGCCATATCAACACTACAAAAAGCACCAGGCAGCATCTAGATAGCTGTTCCACTGTGTAATATTATATAATGACTCCATACTATTATCCTATTAATATGCATTAGAGGAGGATACACGTATAATTGGAAAGGCCAGGGATGTCTGAGCAGCTGTGCCGAAGGAGGAGGGGGTAAATATGGAGCACATTCAAACAATAACAATATAGTGTACAAACCAACAAAAAAACTTGTAATGATTCAAGGATTAAAATACAGCAATACAAAAATATAAATAACAAAAGTAACACTACTGCATAGGGGTAGTAATATGATTACAAATTGCAACAGAATCTCAAGAAAACAAGTAAATCAACGTATCCAGTTTAGCCTTTCAGCGTTGTGATTGTGTTTGGTAGAGAGTCAACAGAGAAACTATCCACGAAGGAGCTGTAGTGACTGCCAAACAGGCGTAATGGAGAACACAATGTGGAGTTATTAAGTGTGATTTAGAGTGGCTCCCTAAAGGACAAGTGGCCATTTTGATTGGGATGACTCTACACAGAAGCATATAGTGTGCCTACCACTATTTGATTAGTGCCTTAAATGACTGCCTTGGCTTGGATGAATCGCCCATTCAGGGCTCGTCTTAAGTATCAGCGCTGCTTTGTGTCCTGGCCGTGCCCGCCGACGGCTCTCTGCTAAGTGTGTGCGCTGCATGTGTGCTGGTCTTTGATCTAAGTAGCTGGTAAATTACCATTTAATTTGAAAACATGACTGTCTTTGGTGGGTGTTTTCATTTCGTCTGCCAGCTTTGCTTTGTGCATAATGCGGCACAGACAAGTGGCAAGAATTGCAAAGCAGAGGAAGTCTTGTTTTAGCGCCCCCCCCTCTTTTTTTTGTCTTTAAGAAACTGGGTAATCACATAGATTGCCCTCCCCTCTGTCCCCCTATCTGTTTTTTTAGGACGCTTTCTCTCTGCCTTTTAGGCATCGCACTGCCTACATTTGTCTGACTTTCATTTACTCTCCCCGTGTCTTCACTCCCCTGCAGTCCTTAATGTAACCTCACTTAAGGCTCGATAACAACAGTGTTGTTCTGGGCTGCCACAGCAACTAAGCCGTCCCCATTGGCAACTTTAGCCCCGACAGCAAGCTCCCCTTCCTCAATGGGGTCGGAAAAGATAGACCCGGCCTCCCCAGAAGAGACGGACACACCCCTATCGGTGCGCTCCAGCTTGCGGTGCTTGCGTGGCTCGGGAGGCGTGTCCTTCTGGGTCAAGACGTAGCGAATCCTCTCCGCGCAGACGTCAGCCGCCTCCTTGGTCTCCCTGCAGAGCTGGGACAGGCTGAGGAAGCCGTGGGGGAGGTCGTCCACCACGCACAGAGTGACGGGCTGACCTATGTTCCTCAAACGCTTGGCAAACATCACAGAGTCATCCAGCATGGGGTCTAACGCACAAGCCTGAGAGGAGAGAGGGGAAAGGGGACAGGGGAGAGAGAGCGGGGGTGAAAAGCAAGTTAGGACATGTCAGGAATCTTAATTAAGTGATGAAGAAAAGGAAGCCAAGAATCCCGGTTTCCTTTGTGCATACTTTCTTTACATTCCCGCAGACTCACTCTAGCCACTTTAAAATCAGTACCAATTTCTTCATTTTTTATTAACATCCTTCAAATGTGAGATCAGGCTTTAAACTTCCCATCTCTCTCTCACTGTGATATAACAATGTAAGTGAACGGTCCTCTCTGATCTCTATCTCTTCACTTTCTAAGGCTTTGGTGCTTTCACCTCTGCAACCTCCCATCTGCTTTTCTCATGTCTTTACTATCATAAACCAACACTCACAATCCTGGTCTGCTCCTGCATGGAACAATATCAAATCTACTTAGTTTAAAAGTGTTTGTAGAAAAACAAACGTAAAACCAAATGTAGATGGTTGCAAAGACTCAAATGCTCTTCAAGGCAAGCTTATACTACACTCAATTCGAGTAAGCGAAATTAGATTTGTGTGTATTTAACTGTATTAATACTCTCCTGCCCAATTTCTTTGTATCAGAATAAAGTAAAGCTTCATTATCCTGTCAAAGACTTCCAGCTGCTGCTTCATCTCACCACTATGTGCACAGGGGGCAGGCCTCTCAGCATGCTGTCAGGAGCCAGCAGAGGAGAGCAGAAGGGATCTTTAACCACAGGCGAAGTGTCCACCGTCATGGTGGCTAGCTGCTCTGAGCGCAGGGGCTCAAAGCCCAGGGGAAACTCCCTGCGGTGCTCCAGCTCTGACCCCTCCTTTCCAGCAGGGGGAGGTATGGCCACTGAAAACAGCTCCCTGGACATGGAGGGATCTGCTTCCTTGGATAAGAAGAAATTCACATCGTCTGGCTGCAGAAAAGGGGAGAGTACAAATAATTTAGTTGTGGATAAACTGCACTGAAGGGGAAAGTAATGTCAAGGACAATAATAAGGCGTAAAATATTAAATAGGCAAACTTCATTGCATATACACACAGAGGACTTTGTCCTTGTGGAAATCATCTGAAAAACCTTGGCTCTGTGCCTGAGAGTCTTGGCTGAACAATCCCCATTTGAAGGAGGAAAAGCATATTTAAAATCTTGCGTCACCCCTGCAATACAATTTTTCCCAAGTAAGGCACTAATCCAACCTGCCTGTGTGAAAAAACATGCGAGGATAATCTGCAATACCTGGCTGGTACCCGCACAACCAAAAAAAGCTTTGATACTCAGTCAGCTTTTCACAGCCAAATCTGTCAATGAGGCATGGGTGACTTCATCTAGGCTGAGATCATCAAGATGAAAAACAAACGTGACTGCAGGGTGTATAACGCAGTATGATAACGGGCCAAAGTATCTCCATGCTGATCAAATGTTCATAGTCTTAAATCCATCTAATGAGGGGAGAGATAGCCTGATCATAGGTGCTATAATTATCATCAAACAGTCCTCAGTAAGAGCCAAGTGTTCTTTAAAGCCCTTAGACATGTAATGCTGTTAACTTCTTCAGGATAAGAGTATCCACTGAGAGCGAGCTAATCTCAATGTAAACATGTTGAAGCGTGACGTACAGTGCTCTCAGGGAGCAGCGCTGCACTGTGAGAAGTGGAGCCGTTGTGGGATCCCAACTCCTTGCAAGTCTGGCTCTTCACAGATAATTTCCGGGAGGGGAAGTCGGAGGCGACAGGGGGGTCAGCGTGAGGAGAGGAGAAGGACGCCTCTGAAATACTCTTCCTCACCGTGTCTAAGAAACAAGACGGAGAGAGGGGAACATGGAGTTAGTCAAAATCGAAATGTTCCAGACAAACATAAAACTTCATTAAAAAGATCCATTAACACAGAAAGTAATTTTTTACGGTGTGTAAAGGACAGACGTGGGGTCAACTGCAGCTGGAGGACCGGAAAGAAATGACACAAAAAGAAACACACTATCACTTTGACTTATTCCGTCTCTACTTATCATATGTCCTCTGGTTGACAGCCAACCGTTAAAAGCCTCAAAATGTCAATTGAAGTGTATCAGCAGGAAGGAGAGAGGCGAAGTGGGTGGAGGGAAATCAAGCAGTGCTGTCATGGTGATATCATCTGCCCGCCCCGAGCCGTCAAAACATAGCTGTAGTCATGGCGGCTATCTCCACAAAAGCGCTACCGATCTCCCATCTCTTCCATAATGAAGCATCTCAGCACCATGATGGCCTTTTAATAATGTACTCCCACCAATGACATTCTCATTAGTTTGGGGCTTTCAGCTGGGGGGGGGAGGGGGGGGTGTCACCTGGCTAAGGGGACATCAGGGAAATTACGATTCGCCATCAGATTTACGGAGGCTACAATTAACAATTACTGTCAAAGCCCTGCTGCTGCGAAGACGTGAACTGATAGGAATGGGTTACAGTGTGGTTACGCAACAAGGTGGGACAAAGTGATAATTGGACAGTTGAAAGCTGAATAAAGGGGATCCATGTCATTAACCCTCATCCATATGGACTGTAAATGAACTTGATATTGTTACACACATAATTGGCTTAAATGATGATGCTGAAAATACGGGTGGGAAACACACACACACACACACTGATGTGGCAGTTAATGTAATGAAAGACCCGGGCAGATTGCATCTATGGCAGAGCTTTTCAAACAGTGGGGCTCCAAACATTTTAGCGAAGGCATGGTATATGGAGGTACAGAATATTACATCAGTTATATAAAACAAAATCACGTAGAATAGCCTCAACGTGTGCGATTTGGTTAAAGAAATACAGTAGATTTAGATAAATGAACTGTTTTCCCTCTTTCCAGAGATAGAGAACTTTTTTTTTTTTTAAAGGAGCCCTATCCTGCTTTTTGGGGTTTTCCCTTTCCTGTATTGTTCTATAGGTTGTTGTGCATGTAAATGGTCTCCAAAGGGAGTTTCTCTCCCACACTCCCTCCCTGAAAATGACCTTAATAGCGCCCCATTTATTTGGTGTTGTCTGATGTTATGTCAAATAACAACATTTGGCTCAATTGTCAGTCTCTATGGAATCAAATAATACAATCATGATCCCATTGATATGAAAAAAATTGTCAAACTAAGCAAGCCAACTAAAGGGGCATCAAGCATGTCTGAGGAGAGGCTCAGAATCCTCCTGTTGTCCAACAGTATAAACGCAGTATCTGGCAAGTCAAAACGTATTTAAGCCACCCACATTTCTTCTAATGTTCCCATGCCTGCACAAACACACAGTCACACACAGACACACACAGTCACGCACAGACACACACAGTCACACACAGTCACACACAGTCACACACAGTCACACACAGTCACAGACACAGTCACACACAGTCACACACGGACACACACAGTCACACAGAGACACACACAGTCACACAGACACACACAGTGAAACACAGTCGGGGGTATACCGGCGGCTCTTGGTGGCGCCTCCTGTGCAGCCGAGCTGGGGGCGGTGGCGGCGGCTCGGTTGGAATCCAGCAGAGAGTGGATCCAGTTGGAGGCTCCCTGTCGGAGATCTCGGAGCATCACAGCCGTATCTCTCCTCACCAGACTCAGCTGGCTCGCCTTCTCCACCTGCGCCTCCGTCTGGGGCTGGTTGCCTGGAGGAAGAGGAGACATAGAGGAAGACTCAGCAGGGGAAAGATGGATGGTAAACAGAGAGAACAGTGTTTCTCTTATTCTTGAATAAGCACAAATGAGAAACAGATAAGCCAAAATAGGAAAGATAAAAAAAAACACAGACAATACAGCCATTTGTGTCACAGAGAGCAATACATAGTGATGACAGAACGAGTGAATAGAACATGATTAGTGTTATAGTTCATTATTGACAGCGACACAGGATCCACAGTATCTCTGTCAGAATGATTTGGCAGACATGTAGTTGGCCATTTACTAGTCCTCCTTAGCCCTCCTTTTCTTGTGAGACTACAATGTATCAAATGACTTGTAAGAGTTTCTCCTGCTTTTTACATTGCATTAATGACAAGGCGTGAAAAACAATCTATATGCTAATAAGTTGAGTTGTGGCTAGGGAGGGTGTTTCAGACATGATACAGCACGGTTAGAATAAAATCCATAAAGATTTATGATTAAAAAATGTATAATATACACATTGTGTGCTGAAAAAGGAATTGAGCAAGTGAACAGGGAGATCCGAGATGAGAACAGAACTTGTTTTATGTTTAATAAGATAATTATAACTGTTCTAAAACTTAAAAGACATGCAGGCAGGCTGAATTGACACAAAATAGAGATTGAAGTTTTCTTATCAATTAGTTGTTTCAGCTGATTGCATATCATAAAACATCGCTTTGAGTTTTTTTTTTATAAATTATATTAGTTAATGCAATTGAAAAGAATGGCTTAACTGATGAAAATGGCAACAAAATAATATATATAAATATACATCAACTTAATAACCTTTGCATTTATGTTACACAGATAGTTTGTCAGCATTATTATTTTTAAAAGGGCCCTATAATGATTACTTAAGGGTTCATATTTGTATTTTGTGCCTCTACAGCGACATGTTTCCATGTTTTAATGTTCTAAAAAGTCTTTATTTTTCTCATACTGCCTGTGCTGCAGCACCTCTTTTCACCCTCTGCTCTGATTGGTTAGCTGGCCGGCTCTGTTGTGATTGGTCAACCCGCTTTGAGATGTCCCGCCCCTTAAAATACAATGCACTATCACGTTGGAGCTAGCCAATAGAAGCACGAATGTTACATAGTGATGTCACTATGTGGTAGGGAATTTCTGGGTTTTATCCTTTGCAGACCATTTACATGCACAAAAACCTATAGAATACACTACAGGAAAAGGCCCCTTTAACAAACCTACAACACTGCAGAGATGCTTAAACTAAAGACTAAGGGGAATAAATCCTAATTAAATTCTAAAATCTACCAGATAAAAGAACACACCTTATTTAGTTTGTTTTCTAAATCACAAACACACTTGCCCTCCTACCTGCGTAGGCGCTCAAACACCTGGAGAGCACGCTGAGCGGCAGCAGGGGATCCATAAGTGTGAGCAGACGGGAGGGCGAGGCGTAGGCGGTCAGCAGCGTGGCTGGGTACACGGCCACCAGGCCATCTGGCATCCGCACGCCAAAGGCAGCCGCGCGCATCGTCGTCGTCACACACAAGTTGCCTCCCGCACTGTCACCAGCCAGACACACTTTCTCCCCGGTCCAGCCTGGAGAGATGAAACAGGACGGTAAATATAAAGGTGAGGACAAAAGAAGAACATCAATCCATGGGGAAATGGTGAAATGGCACACAAAATAAAAGGAGACGAGAAAAATATGTATTTTTCTACAAATCCACTGTGGAGCAAGAAAAGCAGTGCGACCCATAAATTAGCAGAATCTCAATTCAATTCCAATTCAAAACCTTTATTTATCCAGATGAAATCCCATAATCTCTTTTCTCTACCATGAGACGGCTGAATATGGGGCTGCTTGGAGCTGGTATTGTCTTGCTATCCGCCTCATGGCAGTGATAATGTCTTCTTGTACTAAAACACAAACGCAGCACTGCGATCACTGTTAATTTGACACAGCGTGCTTCAGCGGGCGGATGTACCCCAAAACGACCAGATGTCTTTTGTTGTCAGCCTGAATACTTAGCGTCACAATTTGTGTTATATTACAGAACAACGGGTACAGTGCAAAACATGGCGCTGCAGCATGATTACTTTCAAAGTGATGAATGATTCCTCTTGAAAGCTACAGGGAATTGGTAAATGCACTCACAGAAGCAGTCCACTGACTCTGAAAGGAGTGAGCTTTTGTCTGCTCATTAAGTCTAATAAACTAACTTCTACCTGCCTAATGCATTTAGCATTTCAACAGCACATGGCTTCCCATTGCATTAATAAGTAGTCCGAAAAAGTACATGGGAGTAAAAAAGAAAAGCCAGGAGTCTGATATTAACGCTAATGTGTGATGACCCTAGATAACAAACTGTCCTTCATTGCAAACATCGCTGCAACAACCCGCTGCTGCAGATACACTCTTTACAACATCAGGAGGATACGTCCCCTCCTGACCCAGAAAGCCACGCAGCTTCTGGTCCAGGCTCTCGTCATCTCACGCCTTGACTACTGCAACTCCCTCCTGGCTGGTCTCCCTGCGTGTGCCATCCGACCTCTGCAGCTCATCCAGAATGCAGCGGCTCGTCTGGTCTTCAACCTTTCAAAATGTTCTCACACCACGCCGCTCCTCCGCTCCCTTCACTGGCTTCCAGCAACTGCTAGAATCCAATTCAAGACACTGGTACTTGCGTACCATGCTGTGAATGGATCAGGCCCTTCCTACATCCAGGACATGGTTAAACTGTACACCCCAGCACGTGCACTCCGCTCTGCATCAGCCAAACGGCTCGCTGCACCCTCACTGCGAGGGGGACCCAAGTTCCCATCAGCAAAAACACGTAGGTTTGCTAACCTGGCTCCTAAATGGTGGAATGAGCTCCCCATTGACATCAGGACAGCAGAAAGCCTACACATCTTCCGGCGCAGACTGAAAACTCATCTCTTTCGACTCCACTTCGAGCAATAAAATGAAAAAACTAAAAACTAAATAAAAAGCTCTTACATACTAACTAAGCACTCACATACTAACTAAGCACTCACATACTAACTAAGCACTCACATACTAACTAAGCACTTACATACTAACAAAGCACTTGCATACTAACTAAGCACTTACATACTAACAAAGCACTTGCATACTAACTAAGCACTCACATACTAACTAAGCACTTACATACTAACTAAGCACTTACATACTAACTAAGCACTTACATACTAACAAAGGACTTACATACTAACAAAGGACTTACATACTAACAAAGGACTGGCTTATCTAAAGCCAGTTGAGTAGCACTTGAAATGTTTTGGCTCCATGAAACCTGATGTACTTATATGATTCCGTTTTCTTCAAGTTTGCACTTATTGTAAGTCTCTTTGGATAAAAGCGTCAGCTAAATGAAATGTAATGTAATGTGTGTGTACCTAGTAGGTGGTGGTTTTTCAGAGCCCAGCAGTAGGCGTAGAAACACTCCTCCAGGGCCCTTGGGAAGGGGGCCTCGGGGGCCAGAGAGTAGTCGATGGACAAAATGGGGACACCGAGATCCTGGGACCAGCTCTTCAGATAAGGCTGCAGGACACAGAAGACAGAAGTTAGAGGGGTGAAATTATAAAATGGAAAAACACTCGGTTTCAAAGCTGATGTATAATATGATGTTTGTGAGAAACAAGAGCAGCCTTGATAAAACACAGAGGAAATGAGACAGAGAGAGGTATAAATGTAATGGGAGAGAGATACTTCAGAAAGGATAAAAAAGCTATGAAAATTGCCCTGTGATGACATCGGTCGGCTTTGTGGCTTACCGTCTAGACAATGAAAGAATGAAAGAATGAGCACTGCCCTCACTGTCACCTTCATTTGGTTTCTTCAGTTGGTTATACAAAAGATGCCAACATGTCCTCGTTTATTGGGTGTGAAGTAACAAGACAAAGACAAGGTGATGGTGTGGATTTACAGGGAGTGTCTACCAAAACAAACTCACTGTCAGAATACTGAGTGTTCCTTTCTTCCCGTTGCTACACTTTGATTATGTGTTTACTATTCTAAGGCAAGTGCTTTACTCCACAGCTGCAAAGCAATGACCTTGAAATGCAAGCAGGGCAGCAAAACTTGTCACGCCAAAATAGTCCTTCTACAAAAGCATCCATCCTTTCCTCCTCCATCTTTATCTTCTCCCAACACCTTTTCTGACTAGCTGTGACAGGGCTGGCGCTGAAAGTGACAGCCCTCCGTTCACAATGCCAGGAAAAGCACAGTGAGTGTATGTTTTGAATGTTGCCTCACCCGCCAGTGATTCACCCTGAAAAGTAGTCGCTCCAGCATCCAGCCGTGCCGCCTCAAAGCCGCGCTTGTCATAAGACATCTCAGAGTGAGGTCGCTGACAAGGGAGTACACGCTCTGTTCAGGTCAGTGTGGGTGTGTGTGAGAATCAGCAAAAGGTTCTCCAAAGGTGTGTATGTGTGGAAACAAGTCAGTACATGTCAGAGTACTTGGGCAGGCGCAGCAGTCAGACAGTTCATCATCTGCCTGCATAAAAGAAACTCGCAACAAATGTCCCACAAGGAAGAGAAGAGGTGTGTGTGTTTTTTAATGAGCTGGGACCAAGATTGGAAAACTCTTCTCATACACACACATCCTATTCACAAAGAAGAAACACACTCTCACACCAATTTAGAAGGAGCCAGATCTGTTCTCAAAGCAGGAATAATGGGAGCTGCAGTCCAACTCTTTCTAAGACATGCAGAGGAGTTAATCTGCAGGCTAATACCTCTACAGGGGGTGTGTGTGTGTGTGTGTGTGTGTGTGTGTGTGTGTGTGTGTGTGTGTGTGTGTGTGTGGTGTGTGTGTGTGTGTGTGTGTGTGTGTGTGTGTGTGTGTGTGTGTGTGTGTGTGTGTGTGTGTGTGTGTGTGTGTGTGTGTGTGTGTGTGTGTGTGTGTGTGTGTGTGTGTGTGTGTGTGTGTGTGTGTGTGTGTGTGTGTGCTGGTCTGTGCCCAAGTTGCTAAATGCACAGATGCCAGCACATCCATTCCTGTGATGTCAGCATAATTGGGCTCTGAGAGCACCAAAGGCTCCAGCCACTGAAGTCCAACTCTCCATCTCGCCCAGCCGGCAGGAGAGAAAGGGGTCGAGGAAGGATACAGGAGAGGATAAATGAGCAGAGCAAGGCCCCGCCCTCAGAGAAACTTTTCAATTTTTCTATTCTTTCTTCCTTGGCCTTGCCTCAGGGATTAAGAGAGCAGAAAGCACACGGTAATATTAGCAAGGAGCCAAGTTCAAATTGCTTAAATAAGACAGGAAGGGGATGTTAGAAAAGGACACGAGGTGAACAAAAAGGATTTTGTGAGGTATTAGAAAGATTGAGAGGGAGGATGTAATAAAAAGGCGAGCCCCGAAGAAAAAGACAGAATGATAGTCTGACAAGTCTTCCATTAGTGCCCCGGGTAATCTTTCTCTGCGGGGTTCTACAGTTCTCTGTTAATTCAACATGACAGCCCTGTTCACCCCCGTCTGTGATTGCTCCCTCTCTTCCTCTGGTTGCTACGCAGCTGCAGACCAAGAATGCCCGTGTCCTTGGTGATTTCACAGAGTCCTGTCTTACAGAGGCTATAAGAAGCCTGACGCCACACACAGACCACACACAGACACAGATAACCAGATCAGTGAAGGAGAGCTGGGTGCACAAACTGTATTTAAATCATCCTTCTCATCAAGATGAATCACGGAGGTTCCTTTTGCTAGGATTTCATATATTGTTACTTATGTAAAGTTATGATAAAATAAATGTTTTGATTGCTGTTAGAGCATTGCAGAGATTTTTTAAGACAACTTATAAGTGTGTTTGTGTGCTTTTTCCTTTCAGAGTGATCTTTAAAGTGGACCTATCAAGCTATATTGGAAAAATATATTGTAGGGCCATACCTATACAAAACATGTCTGTGAAGTTTTTTGCTTAAAATACCAAACAGTTCACCCATTGTAGCCATGCCTCATACTGCTCAAACCCCTCTTTTGCAGCCCTGTTATGGCGCATTTCCATTGCAGCGCGTAGCTCGCTTTAAGCGTGCCGTGTCGTGCCGTCCCCTTTTTTGGTTGTGCTTCCACTAGGCCTCGTTCCGGCGCGGCACGGCGCGGGGCCACTTTTTCCCCTCTTTTCTGGCCCTAGAAAATTGTGGTTCTATCGGGGCCAACAAACAGGGCTGAGTATGCTAAACTAGAGAGAGGAGCGCTGGCAAGAGGGCTAGAACTACAACAAGATGGACATATTTGACCGTGATTTAATTGTAATACACGTTTCAAAATGATGCCGAAGTAACAACATACTGATACCGGTTAGTAAAAACCATGAATTAATGCTTTGTCAAGTCTGCAGACAGACGGCAGGCGAAAAACCTTTTAAAATTCGTGTTTTTCTAGATGGAGATTGGCTAAGCTAACGCAGTATATGCCCCGACCGTCCACACTCACAACAACGGCCTATACAGACATAAATTAAGCAGCGACTGTATTCACCATGACACAGGCAGTCTGTGGTTTGTACTTGTTTAACTTTTGTCGAGTTTCTGAACATATATAAGGAGCTGTGAGCTCTGAGTGCTCACAGCTAACGGCTGTGTTGTGTTTCTGGATTTCTCATTGAAGATGACGTCACGGCTCCGCCTACACTGCGTTACTACCCAGTTCCTAAACTGTAATGGAAGCGCAGCATGAAGTGAGTCGGCCCTGTTAAGGCCCAACGCGGCCAAGCCGTACCGAGCCGTACCGAGTGTGGCCGAGGCCGACCGTGTAGTGGAAATGCGCCATTAGAGGAACGCGGATTTTGGGTCCTGAGGAGGCGGAGCTAATGCCTGATCAGAATTCTACCGGAGATAAAGTTAAATTCTGCTGTGATAAAACGCCATCCTGTTCTAAACCACATCAAAGATTATTTCTGAAATAGTATGGAGCTCAAATGCTTTTTTTCTTGCGGGTTTATCACAAGGTGAGTTCCTTTTGTTATTTCCTGCTTTTTAAACACATGTGCTCTACACAGTACAGGTTAGCTCTGAGTGTTAGCGAGGCTTGCTAATGTAAACAAAGACGAGATTACGTCCAAAACACGTCAGGCATTGTTTCTGATAGCAACTTTCTGTGGGTCCGCCCGCCGATTTGACGTCAGATCGGCAGCAAATCTGTATCCGCTCGCTGTTTTTAAAAGATTTGGGTACGGAGGAAAAGAGAGAGGGTTTTATTTTCTGACCCTGCGTGAGTTCCCCGACACACATATTTATGTATAAAAGACATCACAAAGTGCATTTTGCATGATAGGTCCCCTTTAAAGTAAATCTAGAGGGGATGATGTGTGTGTGTGTGCACCTTCTGTGTAAACCAAGCATGGAGGGAGGGCTTAGCATCTCCATTTATAAAACTATATTCCTGCGTTTTCAGCGATTATTTACAAATGAATTAGCTTAACGGCTCATTAAATGTCACAATATTGACAAAGGAGGAGATTCAGCCTGCTAACTCCTCTGCTGTCAACTAGTGCTCGTCTCAACACTTTAATTAGATGGGGTTCAATTTCAATTAGTTGGAGAAAACAGAGCGAGACAGTGAAGCGATGAAGGGATGAGAAAGTGAACTGGAGGAGCAATACCGGGTGTTTAAAATGATGGAGGTGAAGTGGTGTCAGCATCTGTATCTGTGGGTGCCACATCACATATTTACCACTGTTTCCTGCATTACTGTTGTATTATAAATATCATAATAGGTCACCTACAGATGTGAGTCATACTACAGCAAAATATAATTATGTGAAACATCTTTTGCATTCAGTTTTCCTTGAAAAATGAAACAAATCATATTGCACTTTAGGTAAGAGGATAGATATACTGTCACCTACTATCCCTTTTCTTTTTTCTTGTCATCAGTGTGTGAACTCTTAACTCTCTTATCCCCTTTTCAATCTTGTTCCTGCCGCTCTAACACCTATTTTCCCCCTACACGGATCGATGAAGGTTTAGAGAGAGTTGCAGAGCAGCATCTCACCTCATGGGATTTGGAGGTCTGGGCCACAAATCCTCCTCCGTGGAAGTGGATCAGGATGCTGGAAGACGGGGGGAGGCGCTTGGTCTTCCCCAGCGACAGAGAGATGGCGCCCCCCTCAGAACGGGCGAGAGACAGCAGAGCCTCGCTGTCCTGGAGAGAGAGGAGGAGGAAGGGATTAACAAAAGGAGAGAAATAAATCACTAAAAACAGTAAAGAACTTCACGTGATGTTGACGGTGGCCTCACTGATAACTGTCCACATTATGTGCATATTGTATACTGGAAACAAAGCCTTGTTTTCATTGTTAATAAAAAGCATTGCTGGTGTGAGCAACAGGGCTCCTTTGAGAGGAGGACTAACTGCTGTGCTGCAGCAGCTTTCTGCCAGCTTCTCCTGTGCCTGCATGAACGCACACTAATTCCCATTCATTAACGGAAACAAGGAGGCAGAGGAAATGTAGCAGGGAGGGAGGGTGGGTTTCCACCGATGCACACTTGTAATTTGAAACTTTAAAAAAGGAAACTTTTGTTTTGTTGTGGCGTGATCAATGCTGGGAATAGAGAGGCGAAGTCCCGCCCATCTACTTCCGACCCATGGGACCTTATTTCGGAAAATTGATGTATTGAAGTCAATGGGGAGAGAAAGATTATCTTTTGATCCCGTTTGAATTGTGCCACGAAATACACATATGATGTTTGTCAATCTTAACAAATCATTTCCATGTCAAAAAGTCACAGTTTGTCGTAAAACTGTTGAAATATAAGACTATGAAAAATACGCAACTAGAAAGACTACAAATCCCAGAGTCCCGGTCCCGCATGCTGGCTCTTAGGAACCAACTAACTCCCCTTGTGTGTATGTACAGCTCTCAACATGCCCAGACTTGTAGTGATTTTCACCTCTTTTAATACTTTTCGCCTCATTCTGAAAGAAAGAAGTGAAATGTGCCAACGTGACGGCCGTCTTGGTGTGTGGTGCGAGACGGGAGATGTAGTTCATTGAGCGGTTTCACACAAAAAAAAGTGTTACTTTACAGTTTTACGACACATTTTATTTTTTTGACTTGTAAAATTATCTTTTAAATTGACAAACATCATAAGTGTAATTCGTGGCAGAATTCAAACGGGATCGAGAAATAATCTTTCTCTCGCCATTGACTTCAATACATACTTTTTCCGAAATAAGGTCCCATGAGGTCCCCCAGAAAGGGAGGGACTTCGCCTCTCTATAGTGTGTTGATAGCATATATAGTTACAAAAAAAGGAGTGCAAGCTTTGAGGGAGAGAGGTAGTCTCCTGAGAGAATAAATAAGGGAGGAAAAGAAGTGAGTACGAATCCTATGACAGAAAAATATATAGAGAGAGAGATAATGAAGGGGATTAAGTTCATGAGGATGAGTCAGGCTGTCGTTTACTCCTGGGCGGAGAAAGAAATACCAGATATGCTTTTACATATCGTCAGAATATTTCTACATTTGCATGACTGGTAAATGCAAAGTGGATTAAAAAGAGCCAGTGGAGGAAAACTGTCACAAACTAGGTCACGCAACAAATACCTAATACTAAGACAGCCAACCAGTAAGTAGTTTAAGTGTACAGCAAATACTGAGATAGTCTGGCTTTGCATAAGATGTGACAATATGAAGCTATTTTTATTGCTTTTTCAACTCGGCCACTAAAGTGTGAGTGGAATAATGAATGACTTACCTGTCCTTCACGCAAGTCATAGGAGATGAGCCTCATCTGAACTGGAGCGCTGCCGATGTGCGCTGACGGAGGAGCTATGGTTACAGAGGCTCCTTGGTTGGCCGCCAGGGGGAGGTCAAAGGGCACGGGGGGCACAGAGAGAGCCCGGTTCACCTTAACTTGAGTGGATGTCAAACTGGCAAGTCTCTGGAAGAAGAGAGAAGATGAAGAAAAAAAAAAAAGAAAGATATCCGTGTTAAAATAGAGACAGAAAGAGTGGAGTGCAAGTTACAGAGCGAGTGGGGTCAATGGAGAGACAGAATAACTGCATGAATAAATCATGAACCCCATTGAATAAATTGAATTCCACTCTATTATTACTAACAGCCTATACGCCAAATGCATAACGATGGAAGGGTACTTCTACTGGAGGAAAGTCAAATATTCCTGAGACAGTTATTAAATAAAAAAACAGGGCAATGCGCTTTTCTGTGTGCATGGGTTAGGGACTCGCATGGGTAGATTACAGATGTCTAAGGAGTGTGTGTGTGTGTGTGTGTGTGTGTGTGTGTGTCCTAGCATTACTATCATTGTGGGGACCTACATATGTTTACACAGTCACGTGTGGGGACTCGCCTCCCTTATGGGGACATATTGGAGGTCCCTATGAGGGGAATCATTCATTTTAGGGTGAAGACTTGGTTAGGCATAGGCATGTGTTGGTTAAGGTTAGGATAAGTCTCCAGGAAGTAAGTGTGTGTGTGTGTGTGTGTGTGTGTGTGTGTGTGTGTGTGTGTGTGTGTGTGTGTGTGTGTGTGTGTGTGTGTGTGTGTGTGTGAAAAGAAGCATTATCAGTCCACTCACCGACAGGACTTCGGTCTCCGTAATGTTCCAGAAGCTCTTCCAGAAATGGACGTCCAGGTTCTGGGTGATGCGTTCAAACTCCGCCCCTCTCAGCTCTGGGTCGATGGCGTACTTCCCTGAGGTGAATAAAGAGCTGGCTGCTACACCTGAGGACGGGAGGAAGAGGACGCACAATGAGGAGGGGATAACAATAACAGAAAGGAGACGGGGTAATGCAAGAGAAGAAAGGGGTTTAGAGTTCAAAGTAAATGGAAATAAAAGAAGGATGTGGATGCCGGACGAGGGAGTGAGAATGGAAGTGTTTGCAGACAAAAGCGCAGAATAATGAGGATGAAACGAATTTAACAAAGACAGAAACAGGAGAAAGTAAGGCAGGAAAGAAGGAACATTAAAGGTGACTGGTGAAAGCACACATCAAACAACTTCACAAAACTAACTTATATGGCATTGCAATCCAATTCTCTGAAGACACTAAGGATGGGCACTAAAGGAAAGGAATAGCACTTTCAAACTGTACCACTCTTTAATTAAACTACAGACACAGGACAGCTACTGCAGAGTAAGAGCTCTAGGATAGAAACAACTTCTTCACATAGTCTTTGTTACTACAGAGGACTATCATGAAGGGGTGGGGTGGGGTGGGGTGGGGTGGGGTGGGGTGGGGGGGGGGGGGGGGGGGGGGGGTTCCAGCAAACTCACCATATGGTGCAATACCTCCTGCCTCCACTGTGGTGCAGCACAAAACACAAAGAGACCTTTTTGAATGTTAAATATTTACGTGTGTTTGCAGTTAAAATATCTCCATGTACTTCTATCTCTGTACATAACTGTGTGCACGTTCAAAACATTCTGAAATATAGAAGAAGCACCCCAGCTCGGCCTCGAGGTTCAAGAGGATGAAAGAGCATCTACAATCCAAGCACACAACATCATAAAGGAAACGCAGTCAGGGGCCATGGAGCAATGTGGAAGAGGCGTGTGGACGAGTACGATGGAGGAATGAGAATATAGTGACTGGGGCGATGGGAGGGGACATCTGCAGACGACTTGATGCTGACCTATTCCTGACTGATGGCGTTTGTAGTTTTCTCCAAAGGCCACGAGGCCGATAGCGATGGTCTGGAGACACGGCCGGATGGCTGGGCTGAACTGGAGGGATGGATAAAAACAGAGACAGATTATTAATTATATGACATGATCTATTTCAGATGTACACTACACTTAAAACTGCTTTCATTTGAGCAGAGATGACGGGATATCAGATGAGTTTTAGACATTATAAATTGATGCAGAGGGAGGTTTCATCATTTTTTTCCACTTTTGTTTGACTTTGACCTCTTTTTGCTGAGGGCTTAGCCTCTGTCTTTAGGATCAACAGAGAACAGAGACTCTTGTGATGAAGAGCCTTCCCTCTGTCCCTCTTAAATGATTCACTCACTTTAGTTTAACTGCAGGTTTAGGCAGTAGGAGTCATTTGTAGATCTGCAATTTTTTTCCCTGGCTTTACAAATTACAGTTCTGACAGCTCTCTTATCAGGGTCAATTCACTTTAGTCTGGATATAATACCGCCCCTGGCATTTTCTTTTAAATAAATCACACATCCACAGGTTTGTTCTTTTTCCAGACAGAATATCATTTTGATTGACAGGCAATGGGAGACTTGGGAGCTTGATTCTCTCATATTATTTAAAAGAAATTGCTAGCTACATAACCTAACAAGGGCAGTAACATAAGAGTATATTTGCCAGAGCTGTAGATGGTGCATTCAGGTGCTTGTCTGTATGTGTTAAAGGTGGGGTAGGTAAGTTTGAGAAACCGGCTCGAGATACACTTTTTGTTATATTCCATGGAATGCTCTTAACATCCCGATAGCAATGAATATCTAAAGTGCTTTGACAAAAAATCCATAAAAAAATATCATCTGTGGAAGCTGTAGTACTGTAAAAAGCACGACCAATCATCTGAGCCGGCCCGGCTAAAATAACTGGATGGCCTACCTGCCTGTCAGCCTTCCATCTGTGCACAAACTTATCTCGTGCCCTCATTGGTCATGTGCGCGTTCGTGTGTGTTGGAGGAGGGGCTCTATAAGGAAGTGGCAGATTTTCTCCGGTTGTGTATTTTCAAATTCTAGCGATCTCGAGCCGGTTTCTCAAACTTACCTACCCCACCTTTAAGCCAGAATTGGTGAGATGGAAGTGTTTTTTCATGACGTTTTACCTCTATTGTTGTCAGCTCCTTTTTTATTGTTGTCTTCATAATATATATCCTTCTAAAAGTGAATTACCTGCAGTTCCTACTTTGTGAACATTAAAGTACTTCCTGCCTCTCTTTCTTCCAGTGTCCTACTTTTCTTCACATAAAAGCCAATTCTAGTTCATCAAGCCTGAGGCACTGCTACTTCTAAGCCTCCCCATTCGTCACTCTTGCCACCAGCTTTGTCCCTGCACCATGCGGCCTTTCTCACCTGGAAGCCAAGGCAACGGCCATAGAAGCAGCCCAAGTGCATGGATGAGTATTCACGGACAAAGGTCTCACTGATGCCGCTCTCATCCTGGAAAAAGAGGTTTCCGTGGCTGTTGTCGTGCAGCATGCGCTGAGCCAGGTAGAGCAGGGCGCGCAGCTGGCACAGAGCGTTGCAGTACGCCTCCATCTCCCCCGCGTTGTGTGCCACTCGAAAGAAGATGCTGCGGCGGTTGGCGGTGATGTAGCGCCCTTTCTGGATGATGTGGAGAAGGCAGCAGCGCACAACCTAGAAAATGATGAGGATTGTCACATTAAAATTAAGGAGAAAGTCTTACCCCAAGATGCTACACTTTCCTTATGCCAAAATAAATCAGCATAGCAATGTCCATTAAGTTAAACCATAAGAAAACTATGTAAATGATGTCATTGATTAATAAAAGGATGGCATTTTTACAGTGAAATGATATATGTAGGCTTCTTTAAAGAGGACCTATCATGCAAAATGCACTTTTGTACGTCTTTTATACATGAATATGTGTCCCCGGTGTTCCAGGGAACTCACCAAGTGTCAGAAAACACAACCCTCTCTATTTTCCTCCATACCCAAATCTCTAAAAAAGGGGCTGCAACGGATCTGATAAAAACGGATCCAGATTTGAACACTGTCCTGACGTCAGGACGGTGGCGCTACGGCTATTGGGCCAACTCCACCAATCAGGAGGAGACAGCCACGGACATTGCCGTTCGAACGCGCTGGAGACGCTGTAGTACATATGCCAGGCCTGTAGGTGGTGCTGTTCTCACAGAATCTGCCCTTGCAAAAACAGAGCTAAAAAATGTAAACTGAGCGAAATGAGGCATGGCTAAAATGCATGATCTGTTTGGTATTTTGAAAAAAAAAAAGTATAAATATGCCTTATATAGGTATGGTCCTACACTATATTATTAAAATATAGCATGATAGGTCCACTTTAAATAAAGAATGATGAAGTCAAGGTTAATATTCCTATACTAAGAAATCGACCCATGTCGTTTTTGCTTTTCAACAAAGCAAATCATAGTTCTTTAAGTTGTGCAATCATTAAAGAGCCATGTCTTCTGGGTTTGCTGAAATTGTAATTAGGTTTCTGGGAGTTAAGCTTGAAGGAAAATAAACTATGTATGGTAGCCTGAAAGCAAACATGTGAAAGGCTTGAAGCTTTAAAAAGGGTCTTGCACATTAGTCTGAGTAGCACTTTGGGAATGAGTAGGATTATATATATATGTGGAAACCAAGAGGTAAGAACACAGAGCAGCATTCATTTGCTGCTCTGGTAGACTCATTCAATGTGGTGGGCTGCAGCCACCGAAGGTCATGATGTTTCGTCGATAAATGTAGAAGATGAAGTACAGTGGGGTACAGTAGGGGGTAGATATTCTGCAGCTGGAGGAATTTATCTAACCTGATTTTCAACATAAAATCAATCTGTAAAACAAATGGGCTCACCTTGAAACAAAGCGATATCAAGCAGTTTCCCACAGTGTGGAGAGAATATTGATAAGGATGTATTGCGGCAGGGGGGCTTATTATTCTCACAGCTGCACTTTGTGGAGATGTAAAAACACAGATCCAAGACTTAAGCACACAAAACATCCCACTGCTTACCTTGACCAGTGAGCGATAGCCATTGGCGGGTATGTGTGGGTCAAAGTCAAAGTGATGGTAAACTTGAGTGAAGCCGGAGATAATGGGCTCCAGACCGCGAGCGTGGTCCTTGATGAGCTTCATGGTGTCCACCAGGCGCCGCGCCGCATCGCCCTGCGACCCTTTGGATCCTCCGGAGAAGAACTCTGCGTTCTCATCGCAGACGCTGTGCAGCGCCGCAAACACTGCTTTGGTGTCCATCACTAAGAACAGGGACAGAGAGAAAAAGTCAAAGGGTGAAAACTAAAATAAATACTTTTTAACATTTGTAAATTGCAGATTATTTTGAATGGTATAACGATTGCCACATGACTCGCGAAGTTGGAGGGAATTATCATTTTTGAAACATTATCAATGAAAAATATATTAAAATGATCATGCTGTGTTTTTTCTAAGATTTTATAATAAGTCTGTATAATATAATTCCTAAAAATATACAAAATTCAGGAATTATATTTTCACATATTTTACCAATTATTGTGTTTACTGTGATTTTGATATTGCACTAATATCCAGTCCCTTTTGCAATTTTGATCAAACTTTGATTAATTGCGGCGCACTAATGTAACGATGGGTGCATATGCATAGTAATCATTTCAAGGACTTTAAAGTGTTTCTTTATGTATTCTGGTGGGAAAGTGTTCACTTAGCAGATTACTGACACAGGGGCTTGTATCCCATAACAATCTCTGATCTCACTATCAAATATTCCACCTTGCTGACCCCTATGCATTTGTTAAATTAAAGATCTTTTTTCCTGTAGTTGTTAAACTCGACTGTCAGCTGGTCTTGCAAGCATACCAAGTAGCACCCTGACGCTTATTCTGCACCACACCCCCGCTCTCCATTATCATGTAGACACTGTAAAAAGGTAGGATATCATTGGATATATCCTAATGTTCTCTTACTTCTATTAACTAATCCCCAATAGCCTGGCGTACAAAAGCTCATTGATTAAAACGTGTTAAGCAAGCCTTGAAATTAAACGATGTAATGCTGGGCTAAGCAGCCAAAATCCACCAAGATCTGTGCAGACATGCATGAAGCAGGAGGAGAGGCCCTCCGCTGACGTCATGCTGATGAGAACAAACACAGATTAGTCATACACTGAATAAAAACACATACACACATAAGAGTCCCAAAGGGAAGTGTGTACAGCTGAAAACACACAGTGGAGTGTGTTCATCAAGTGTGCCAATACCCCTGCCCTATTGCAGCATAACAAGGATCTGGTGCCGTGTCCCTGATGGACTGAGATCTGCTGTCAAGTCACCGGAGACCTCTGTTTCCACAACACATGAGCCAGAGAACAAGCTGGTATTTACTGTATAGGGTGACGGCACGCTGAGAGACAGGGGGAAGACGAGCTGCTGGACACACAGAGATTACAACTCAAAGAGACAGAGACAGCAGTGCTTTCTTAATAGATGAGAAAGTGGGAATTTTAGGGGAGAAGCGAACAAGGGGAAAGAGAATATTCGTTTTTTTAAGAATGGGTGTTACAGTACCTAATTATCTGGCAAGACTGACGCACATGTATCGAGTGATCATAGAAAATAACGATCAGTTCAGTTAAATGATTAAATCAAATGAATGTATAACTCTAATAAACATCCCAAATGACAGCAGGTGTCCTTGATAATAGCAAACACCTCTCTTCAAACTTCTGCTATTAAAACTTTAACTTAGATAAAGCATTACAAAGAAATATAAAATCAAAACAGCACAATGATTTGTACAGATCAACAAAGCAGCATCTTGGGATGTGGAGTGGAAATAGTACAAAGATTCTACGAAAGTGAAATATTGGTTCGAGGGTCAAAGAAATAATGGGAGCCCTTATCGCGCAATTATTCTGCTATTCCATGCCATTCAGAAAGAGTAATGGGAGAGGCAATTTCAGTTTGTTCAGAGGAATCACAACTCCCTGACATCTGGAGAGAAACATTCATCAGCCAGACGACTTCCTGCACACACACGAGCATTGCATGAGAAATCACCGTGACTGACTTTTCTGTGCTTCTCACTCCACACGCCAGACGCCCTTTTTTGGCACGTTTCTCATTGGTTACATTTCAAATGTAAGCAAGGGATAAGTGAATCATATCACAAAGATTTATTCAAAACAAATTTGAAGTTGGAAAACTTGGAACACTGTTCGCTTTTGCATTTAGCACTCAGCTACTGGCTTGGATTATTTTTATACATTTACAAAACCTGAGTGAGAGGAGCGCTGCCTGTTTCTTCCACTCTGCAGGAAAACATGCCTCATCATCTGGACACACCCGACTTTAACCCCACAAGTTACAGAGCTGGGCCTCACATTCCAGAAATGAATGAAAACACAGAAACATGCAGTTCTTTCGCATATTCAAATATCTGTATTCAAGTAACCCGTTTCCATTTATATCACAGGCCAAATAGTTATAATTACCTACAAACAGGAAACCCCCCGTGTGTATTTGTGTGTGTAATGTAGCCATCTAGAGCACGCTTAATGTACCATTGAATGTAGGAGACACTTATTGGCCCTGGGGTATTGAAACAAACTGAAACAAATCAGCAGAACCAAATGAGCGGACTGCACAGAGCAGCACTTTAGCGGGGATACATTTTTCATCAAGTTCTATGTATTCTGGTAAAGCTTAATAAAAGCAGCTCAAGGCCTAATTTCACATCGATTCGATCATGCGAAGAAAACACGTCCAGTAAGCTCATCCCATGACTTAGAGGAAAACTCATCACAGAAACAGAATTGACATTGTGCTAGTTATAAACTTGGACGTATACAGTAGTTAAGATGTTCAATAGTGGTGTATGAAGTAATTATCCATAGTGAGCGCATTACTGCTTCAAAGCCATCCCTTCATTTTAAAAGCTAGAAATATAGCGCCCCAAACTAACTCTAAACATCACAAGACAAGATTTGATTTGTGATGTGTAGTTACATTGTCTTTCTTTGAATCATTGGGGGCTCAGATCATTTTTATTTTGTGTTTATCCAAAGGACATGTAATGGAATCCAGAGCTAATTAGCAAATGTCCTTATGCCAGTAAAAAAAGGTCAAAGCTTTCTTCTTGTTTTATATTGAACTGTCTTCATATGTCTCCACATTATAGAGAGTGTTCCAAACTATTTGGGGTAAGGTATCTTGCCATAGTACATTTCAACAAGTTGACTGCAGGGGGTGGGATTGAACCCCTGACCCTCTGATTGGTAGATAAAGCCCATCAAACCCCTGAGCTATAGGGTGCATTTCACTTCTCTTATTTTTCATTTCCTCGCTCCTCGGGCTCGGTATCACCGGAAGTTGATTTGTCTGCGCCATCTTGAGTAGCGTCCCAGTGGCCTTATTTGTGCCGGAGGACCGAGGATCGAGGATCGAGGAGCGATAACGGAGGAGCGATAATCGAGGAACGATAATCGAGGAACTACCAGACCATCCTCCGGTGAAATCCTCATACACTCGCCCCGCCCCCTTACTGTGTATCGCTCACTGATTGGACGATGCAGCGCATGCACTGATCTGGCTGCTGTCAGACGATCAACTGTGCGGCGTCATCACAAACGGACGTCGCTTCACGTGACGCTCCGAAGGAAACCACGTCCCATTGCTCTTTAAAACTCAGTTCCCTGCTTCTCGTGGTTTCCTTGCGTCTCTCCATGCTTCCCTGGTGGGAGGGACTAGTCCCTGGTGGGAGGGACTAGTCGCAGGGAAACGACGCAAGTGAAATGCACCCATAGAGGCCTGAATAACTATTTGTAACTACATTTATGGGTGGATGTTATCTTTACTAGAGTTTCAAAGGTTACAGAAGTGTTAAGAAAGGAATAGGGAGGAACAAAATATGAGTTTCACAGATATTACGCAATCTTTAACAACACATATGAATCATGGAGGATCGATGAAGGAAGTCTACAGTACTTTTCATGCGTCATTGTCAAAGTAATTCAGAAGCTAACGACAATCACACACTTATACAGTCCTGGGCTTGTTGCTCAATATCAAGATTTCTCTAAGACTCAGTGGATTACGCACTGGCGCTGAATGTTCTCAACACAGGAAACAGTTACTATACGTGCAAAGAAATCTACTAATGTCATCAGAATAAAACACCAAGAGGAACAAAGAACTTCTATAAATACACATTGAGCCGACTGCATGAACAGCATCAGCCTTATGTGGCTTAAAGGGACACAATGAGTGCCTTTGGTCAAGCGGCAGCCACCCAAACACTTTGCTGCAGGACCCGCTATAGCAGTCCATGGGCGAGCAGCCAACATTAAAATTACATTCCTAATTAGAGCAGGGGGTACGACTCTCAGATGGGAAAGCTAATAGGCCTTATGTTGACAGAGTGAGCAAGGAGTGAACTTTATGAACCCCTGGATCAGCATAAGCTCCTCTGAAAGTTGCTTAATGATAATGAAGCCACATTACGATGACCAACTGCAGGGAGTATATCAAAATGATACGAGTTATATGAACCACTACAATTTAATAGAGAGCTTCCTCGGAGAGAGTTCAACAGTGAAGACTTTGACATAAGATTATATTCAAAACAATAAAGCTGCCACGACACAAAAACACATCTCACCTGCTGTCCGTATCGTCTTTTGTGCATCAGCAATTGTTCCAACTACCTACATATAACTGTCAGTATGGAGCACTGTGTTTCAGCACCATCCTTCCTGTGGTACTGACACAAGTGGTCACTGTAATCCCTCTGCAGCCATTAAGCTGCTCCTTGTCCCTCCACATTAAAGATGGATGAGAGCAGGCATTAATAAGTCATGCACTACAACCAACACCAGCGACACGTAAAGATATATAATGAGTCCTGCAGGGCCCGCATGCTGTGCCAAGAAGTACCCACAGGCTGATGCTGGCATTTAAATGATGGTATGGAGCAACTGCCGTAAAAGCTGGAAGAGACAAAAGTGAAAGTGTTTACCAGCTTTGAGTTCAAGGCTCTGTCCTTTGCTGTCTCCTCTCATCCATGAAAGCAATGACAGCATGGTAAGAAGGGAAGAGAGGAAGGTAGTTTTTGTCTGATTGTTCTTCCTCTGTACGCCTGTCACTGCCTCATCTTCACGATCAGATGTGGCTCTTCTCCTGTCAGCCTCCGTTTGTCAGACTGTCATAACCAACTCTACTCAGAGGCAATGAGTTGTCATTTTCTTTCCTGTGTGCTTGTCCCTCACATGGTTCTTTTAAAAGCCACAGACAGCCCCTTCCCAGATAACTCTGTCCTTGTGACAGTGGGCTTTCTTCCTATTGGATGTTCATCTTGCAACGCCCTGTGACCTTTAACCTAGTTGGCAGATCATGTACAGAGAGACAGTGGCAGGAACACAACCTAAGATTATAAAATTGATAACACATTTTTGAATTGTGGCTCTGCTTCATTCCAAACAAATAGCAGTAAAACAAAATGGCAACAGTAAATCGATTTCATTAAAATAATGTTGGACTTTGAAGGTTAGAGGACACAATGTCTATGAATTCCTTCATTTATTCTGTACAAATGACAATAAACAAATAAAGGAGAGATGTCTTTACTTTTGCACTTCTGGTTTAATGCTGCATTTCATTGTCTTACTTTTACTACTACTTTTACTCTGTGCAATGACAATAAACTTGAATATAATCTAATCGTATGGAAAACATAGAGCCTAGCATTAAACAATAACTCAATAAGAACAATTGTGTTCATCAAATGATTGCTCATCATATTACTCGCTATTCACCAAGTTAGACTTTGTCTGTTGAGCAATGTTTATGAAGCACCATACATGTGCAGTACTAGGAGTAAAGAAACACTAATGTTTAACAATGCAGAACAAGGACATCTAGTACACAACGGAAATAGAGGGATACAATGTATTTTAGGGAGTTCAGTCAAGAGGGAAAACATGACCTTTAGTTTGGAATTCTTGGATGAAATCACAGATAAAAGCCCCCTATCTCAGAGAACTGAGACATGACCCCTTACCCATACACAAACACACCCAGGAACACAGGGACACGTCACCGACACCAAAGTCCCACGTGTTGCTCTTACAACCAGCTGTGAACAGAATGTGGCTGCTATTGTTGCTCGTTTGAAGTATGAGGCAGTTATTTATTTTATTATTTATTTAATCGTTTATTTGGTAGGGACAATGCACAGTAATGAACACTTAAAACATTCAAATGTATCAAGCGTAACAGTGCCAGATTTAGCTTTAAGCTAATTTCCATCCGCAGTCCCTCACATGAAACATTTAAGAAAAATTACATTTTACAAACATAGCAAAAACAAAATACATGATATGCAGAAAGAGCAAGAGCAGCATACACAAGTATTTACCACATGGCAGTACAATATAGCAGCTACGACATATAAAGGGCCAGAGGAGATACCCCTGTGTTAAAGTGCATTTAGCGGTGATTACACGTCTGTTTGTTTCTCAACCATTCTTTGAGTTGACCTTTAAAACTATTGAGAGAGGGACAATCCCGTATCTCAGTAGGGAGGCTATTCCACAATGAGCTGCCTTTAATGGAGAGGACATTTTGTCCAAAAGTTGTCCGTCTACGGTGGACTTCACAGTCTCCTCTGGTTTCTGACCTAGTGCAGCGTGTTTTCTTGTGGATGAATTCCCCTAAGGGAGGGGGGGGGGGGGGGCAGTCCATGTAAACATTTATTAACCCTCCTGTTACATTCAGGGTCAAATTGACCCGTTTGAAAGTTTGAAAATCTACGAAAAATACTTTCAAGTATTTTTTTTGTATGAAACTTCTTCTCCTTACCTTAATTAGTGCAATAAACAAGTAAAATTAAAATGGTTCATGTCATGCATTTGGAACCCCCCCCCCACATGTCTATATCACAGAGATGGTATTCGGGTCAATCTGACCCGGCAGTGCAAGTGGAGGCTAAAAGGGGTCAGAAAAACACACTGTGTGTGTGTGTGTGTGTTTTTCTGACCCCTTTTAGCCTCCACTTGCACTGCCAGGTCAGATTGACCCGAATACCATCTCTGTGATATAGACATGTGGGGGGGGTTCCAAATGCATGACATGAACCATTTTAATTTTACTTGTTTATTGCACTAATTAAGGTAAGGAGAAGAAGTTTCATACAAAAAAAATACTTGAAAGTATTTTTCGTAGATTTTCAAACGGGTCAATTTGACCCTGAATGTAACAGGACGGTTAAAAAAGCACATACTTTTAAAAGACTTCAAATTGTCAAAGCTCAAGAAATTGCGTTTTTCAAGGATGGTACAGTGGTGGTAACGTGAAGTTGGTCAAAAGTTAGGCCGTGACCCTCAGAACAACACTGGTCTTGGTGTGGAGGACCATGAAGGAATTTCTTAGGATTCAACTTGGCATTTTGGGCTGTTTTCTCACTTTTATCGTGAAACAATCTGCACATCTGTAAAGAGCTTGTACTCTGTATTAAATGATTGTCTTTATGTATACTTTGATGCAGGTATACAATCGAACTTGTCAAATGGGGTATAATTGTATTTTCACATTTCCCGTCATTGAAATATATAGTTGACAGTTTCACAGTCCTGTCGAGAAAGCTTTTTTAAATGTTAACAATGCTTTGGAACATATTTTCCGATAAATCCTGAAACTTAGATGGTAACACTAATAGCTTTTCATATCATCTCTCTTTAGTTCCTCTTACTACTGTCCAATGCATATATTAGTATACTTCTGTTTTGCAACTGCTGCCAAACGTGGAACTTCAGCAATGAGAAATGCAAACAACCAGTTGTTCTTGTTTGACACGCGAGAGTCCTGACTCAGTGTAGGTGGGGTGATCAGCTGGTTGCCGTCGTGATACAGCTTGAAAACTTCGGTGTAAAAAAGGGAGACTGTATGAATCCTCGGATGGACAACCGAACAGAGGACACTGCATGTACTCAAGGGTAAGTGTTCGGAGTGGTTTGGCCTCCTGCCATTAGGTTAAAATCTCAAATTGGTGCTAGTTTGCTGATGGAAATTGAGCAGGGTGTACCATGACACACAGGGGATCATTCTTTCTGACCAATGGGTGGACTGCAGTGTTTTTATGTCACATTTTGGTATAGGCTCTGCTCGCCCGGATACTACCCCTAGTGGAAAACCAAGAAAAGAGGGAGCCAAGCGGCAGAGACCCGTACCATGAAGTGGAAACACACTACATTTCAGCTACTTCTAAATGTCAGTATGATTTACTGTGTTGATCTCGTCTAGGCCGTTTCTAACTCATGGCCCTCTTGTGTTTCTCTTTATCAAGCCTGAGCAGACACATTCAAGACATGTGGGAAATGTTAGGTTGGGGTCCATGTAAGTGAAAGGATATGAAAACCCAGTGGCTGTAGGGTTGGAAAACACTGTCACAGCACAATGAGCTCATTTATCATTGCAACTCGAAAGAGTCCAAATGGGTTGTAAGTTTACACCGGTCATTGTTAAAGTTAAAACGCAAACTGTTCAACTTTTATGTCAATTTCTTCTAAGAGTAAAGGAAACCTGGTCAGTGTTTTTTCTAACTTGCACAGGTATATGATACTGAAATATTTGGTCTATAGGAAGCAGGCTTTAAAAATAGAACGCTTTGAGCGGTCCACGGGCAAGAGGAAGTGCCAACAGCAGGGGCTCTGTGGTGTCGTGTTTAGGAAGCCATTGACCCTTCTCCCAGACAGAGCACCTTCAAACACACAGGGCCAAAGTGAACAACAGGAAACGAGCAACAATGAGCTTCCACTCCCCCTCCAAACGGGACGCATAGGGCTTCCCTTCAGTACTCTTAACACAATGTATTAAAGTAAAAGAAAGTTACACATCTGATCTTTGAGTCTGATAAAAAAAGTAAGGTTAGGTAAACTCTTTTAATCCCATTATTGAGGCGTGAGGCTAAACGTACCATTCAAAAATAGGCAGGCATAATAATATGTTATTGTGTTAAAGGCAACGACACTTCCAAAGCTAAGGAAGCCTTTTTGAAGTGGTGGTGGTTTGTGAATGGCTGGATTGTTTTAGTTACGTTAAGACAGTGGCCTAGTTAACAGGAGAGCAGGGCAACAGAGGCAGTTTGTTTAGTCATAACAGCAGATCCACAGTGCCTTCGGGCAAGCAGCATCCTGTAAATCAGCCAATCTTTTTCTGTTCGTAACCATGTGTTTCCATTATGTCACACAACCTGAACTGACCCAATCAGAACGCAAAATCGATTCATTACGCAGTACTTCCTTATAACAGGAGGTGAATGTACATACACTCAGTAGTGTAAAGTAACTAAGTACATTAACCCAAGTACTCTACTTAAGCATAATTGTGAGGTACTTCACTGAGTATCTCCATTTCCTGCAACTTTGCACTTTCACACCACTACAATTCAGAGGTAACTAGTGTACTTTTACTACACTACCCTTATTTAATACCTTAAATTACTTTGCAGATATGGATTAATGATATAAACCAAAATCAACGCTTAAATAATACTTTAGTTACTGGATTAAATTCACAAACTACCCAGCAGTAAATAAAATAATAAAAAATAGTTCCACCCTTACAAGCTATGATAAACATCATCAATAATTATAATCAAAACATATAATCCGTATCATTCAGAAATGGGCCAAAATGATGCCAATACTTTTAGTTCAGTAAGATTTTGAATGCAGGAATTATATTTGTACCAGAGTACTTCTACTCTCTGGTACTTCTACTTTTACTTGTGCAAGATCTGAGTACTTCTCCCACCCCTGCATACACTGCACCCCTCACCTCTGTTTATGACTGGTACCTGATCAGGTGGTCAGTGTCAACGGCTCAAACTAAGGGGCACATAACGTGAACATGTGACTATAAAACACAGCCTGGAGCCACATATTTGTACTTCTACAACAGCAATGACGTCACAGTTATTTCTAAGGTACACGTTGCTATGACCGGAGGATGCTTGTCACTATGGGGACGCCAGAGAAGGACGTCAACCGGTGACTTCTTTTAGCAAAGCTTCTGTAAACAAACAGCCAGAATTAATTAGATCTTATCAGTGTCTCCTCGGTTTAAGCTCGTAAAACAATCACAGGACCTAAGCAGCTGACAGACCCAGCGGCTTAAATCCTAGCTGTTCAATTCGGCTATCGGAGGCCAGCTAAATGCTAACAGAAACTAGCGGGGGGTGAGAGTTTCGGAGGGTCAAAAAAGGGAACAGAGGTTAATGAAGCGTCCAGTGTGACGATAAAACTCACCCACTGGACCTTTAAATTTGGACGAGCGTCTTCCATTCACACTTTTCTCCAATCTGCTACTCCCACCACTCTTCTTGCTCGACGCCATCTTCGCCTACTCTGTTTACGCACCGCCTCTCTCATCTCTCCTACATACCTGCCTGCGAGAGCCTAGGTCCCGCCCACTCCAAAAATAGAGCCAATAGAAGGCTGCGTCAGTATGCAGTAGCCAATCACGACACTCAAAAATCAACTAGTGCCCGCCCCTTTTACTTTGCAAAGTAAAAGTAATCCATTCATGTGGAGAACAGATTAGAAACAGATGAAGTATGTATGTATTATGAAGACAATTCAAAGAATACTTTGTATATCAAGAGCATTTGGTTTTATCACAACTTTATTTTCTAAGCACTTAAAGAAATGCAAGAAGCAAATACATTGTCACACATCATAAAGCCATTCAATAAAATGCAAGAAATATGTTATATTGTTTTAAAATGAACGAATATGCAGTCTTGATCAACAAACCCAGTCTCACAAGGAAACATATCACCTTTTTAACTCAGTTCCTTGTATGTCACTCGGGTTGATGTCTTGGCACTTCCTTAACTGTGAAACATTTGATTTATTTGAATCGGTTACTATCAGTTGAAGTAATTAAATCTCTATTTCCTTGTAGTGGCTGAAACCAGAAACCTCCCAGACACTGACAGATACTCTTCCCCCTTTTGCATTTCTTTACAGAAGGTCAACCAGTGATATCATCGGTTTGAACAGTGAAATGTGTCCTGATGATCAATCGGTAGGTTTCACTGTGACCTCTGGGTTGACTGTTAAAAGAATGGTTCGCTGTTTATAAGGTAAAACATAGTGAACTAGGGGTGGTACATTTCCAAATATTAAAGCTTTGATTGTGCTACAGTCATAATAAATCAGATCAGACAGATGTTTAATAAAAAGCTTGTAAATCACTTTTATAAGCGCTTATTTCCACACACTTTTACGCTTGTTATTGACCTATTTTCTGCATTTTAGCTCAACGAGGAGCCTCTAGCGATGAACCAGGAATCCCCCTCTGAGGAGTTGATGCCGCTGACATCTGATCTGGAGTAACCTCTTAAAAAAACTCACAGGCATTGGGATTTTGGACAGCTCTTTGCCGATACAGTTCTTCATGATACTCCACAGATGAAGAGAATAGTTGGGTTTGTCTGAAATGCGTGTCCGCTGCTTCTTCAGCGGCACCAACTCCTCAGAGGAGGATTCCTGGTTCATCGCTAGAGGCTCCTCGTTGAGCTAAAATGCATTAGCTGATATTACTGCTTGACCTTTTGTAAAGAAATGCAAAAGGGTGAAGAGTATCTGTCGGTGTCTGGGAGGTTTCTGGTTTCAGCCACTTCAACATACAAGAAAATAGAGATTTAATTACTTCAACTGATACTAACCGATCCAAATAAATCATCTGTTTCACAGTTAAGGAAGTGCCAAAACATCAACCCGAGTGACATACAAGGAATTGAGTTAAAAAAACAAGTCTTAACAGATGAGACGAGGATTAGGGGAATTTGGAGTCACACAAGGTGATATGTTTCCTTGTGTGAAAGGGGGAGTGTGTAGGGGTAGGGTGTAGGGCGTGGTTTGGGATTGGGCCATACACACGCACTTTTTTGGCCCCCCCACTTTTAAAATGAATCCGGCGCGTCTGATTGGAATACAATGTTTGATAAATGAAGGAGTGGAAGACACATTTATATTGCTATTAGTAGCATTTGTAGAAAATAGATATCTTTACAATCATGTTGAACATCTGACTTTCATATTTCTATAATCCTGGCCAACATTGACTGAGTGGTGCCATTGGTGAGACTGTTAAATCAACTGCTGCTGTTTCCAGTTCAAAAATCTGTTCAATCTCAAATAAACAAGCTGCTTAAAAGATATGTTATCAGATGCTAAAACTGTAACTGCACGCTCTGTACAAAACCAAATGCGTGTGGTAAGGAATGAAGATGATATTAAGATATCACAGAGTTGTACGTCAGCACTTAAAATAGACTCAACACTCTCCCTTTCTTTATCTTTCCAATTTCCTTCAGGGTTTTTCCAGCTGGATCTCCTCCTCCTCCTCCTCCTCTTCCCCCTTTATGTTGCCCACATCCTGGTACTGGCCATGTGTCTGGGGACGTTCAATCTGATCATATGTGGACCAGCATTCGTCCAGATTTAGCCCCTGGCGTATGGGAAAACGGATATTAAGTACAAACGCAAACATAAATGCATCACATTCATGGCAAATTGATTGGGAAAAGAGTACATGTACACTCATGTCTTTGTTGCTGCTTTCAGCAATGTGACTAGCACATGTATTTCTCACAAGCGACTTAACGGTGATCTGATTCACTTACCTGATATATGTTTTCCTCTTCCCTCGTCATTTTATTCTTCTCCCGTTCATTTAGCGTCTTTGACTGTGAGGGGAAACCAGAAGTTGGTAAATGTGTGAAATTGTGCAACGTCCACTGGAGTAAAAAAACTATTAATCCATTTAAGAAATTTATAGGTGTGTAGGAACAGTTTTACAGATTACATTCATTTCCGGTATGTTGAACTGTATGACATACCATTATTGAGACATCTTGGAAATGTATCATTGCTTCAACGTAAACGCTGTGAGTCATGGGTAGTTGAGAGATAAGTGTATGGATATATGCAGTCGGCTATATAAAAGTAACCTTCTGACCTATTTAATGTCATGCACAATATCACTTTTCTTTTCTAGTTTACATATTTGACTGAATGAATCTTACTCCAAATGTTATTCTATAATAGGAATTCGTGTTAGAATGACTTTTTATTTGTAACTTTTTTTAGCAATCTTTGGCACAAGAGTGAGAGTCCTTTTAAAGTTATCTTCTCCTACCTTGAAGAGAAGGGAGATCGAGGGCAAAAGCACACACAGTAGCAGTAAGACTCCCTCGGCTGTCAGGATCTTGTTTTTGGTGCTCTCACTCAGATTTATTGACTTCTCCATCGGCTCTGGGTCAACACACAGGGTTCAAAGGTGAAACAAACAAGTACTTACATGTCTTTATAGCAAGTGGGAGTGCACATTTGAAAGCAAGAGTGTTTCAAATAATCAGATTATCACTTAACACTAAGTAAGGAGATGTATTAGGAGCTGGGTTGCTATAACTGTACTTAAAGAAAACAGTCTTATATATAAAATAAATGCATAAAGAATTGTTGGTTTGTTATGTGAGAGTATTTTTTATTTATAAATGTGCATATTTCAAAGAAGAATATAATGGTTGTGTGTGTTTAATGAGATGTTGAGGGCTTTCAGTGTGACAAATGCCTCTAGTATGCACATTAGCTTGAAAGACAACTTGATCTGATCTGTGTGCTATATAAAGTGAGTCTGTAACGAGACCCTCCTAAAGATGTAAAGATTAACCAAGCTGCGATATGCAAGGATTCCTCCACTCACACTGCTTTTGGATACACTCACGTTAACAGGATGTACAGTTTATGAGGTTGTTAGCAGTGCTTAGAACTTGCTCTACCCACACACATGAACTCACTGTAGATCTGCAGGTAGGTGCCGTGTGACAGGACGGCCCCATCGTTGCCGCTGAGATGACAGGAGTACAGCCCAGAGTCACTCAGATGGAGGGGATCCAAGGTCAGGGTGCCGCAGAATTTGCTATGGCCCGGTGTGTCTCGTTTAGTCACTTGTTCTGATACTCGTTCTGGTGGCACAGTGTGTATGGTTTTGTTGGTGGTTTGCTTGACCCATGTGACATTCACTGACTTCTCCCCGGAGAAGCAGCACTCCAGTACAGCTCTGTGAGAGACTTGCTTCCTCAAATAGGGCTGGTCCGGATCTAAAGTCACCTTACTCTGAGCATTACCCACTGTTGAAGAAGCAAATAGTATTGTGTTGTTTGATGCATTTGTGGGTTTGGTTTAAACCCAACATCTGTTTAATTATTCCATTATGATTGCATATATCAAAAACATATTACATGGTTTTTAAACTTGACAAAAATCAAAAAATGAGCATTAAATGTACAATGTATTTAAGCTAACAGAGCAAACATGCAACAGCCATCTGCTTTGACAGGAGATGTGGTTCAGTGAAGCATGACTCACACAAGCTAAATGTAAAAAAAGGTTTATATATAGTTTTATATCATTATAGTAGCTTTAGTTTACAGGAATGTCTATTTTCCACAAGACCCAAAGGATCATTGCATTTATATAATTATAAATAAAATAAACACTGGTAACAACTTTAAAAAGAGTATTTTAATTAATATTGTATTTTAAAATAACTTTATTCAACTTACCTACAAAACTGCAGAGGAGAAAGAGTGTTATTATCCCCATCGTATTAAGTAATGTGTGATCCAAAGATAACAAAACGTACTGAAATACTTTAGAGAGAGTTCTTTAAACACTGATCCCAGTCTCCGCTGATATTGTCTGCACAGCTTGTGTCTTGTTTTTCTCTCTGTCAGGATTTATGCTTGAATGAATTTGGACTGTCCCACATTTGCATAAAAGTTATCTCTGCATGCTTTCAAAAATAGATTGTATGTTACTTTCTTCATGAAGAACCAAGATTTCCCTTAACCCTCCTATTGTCTTCGTTTCCCCCCACCCCCTTACTTTGGTGTTCACGGTCAAATTTGACCGGTCCTGTTTTAACTGCTATTACCACAAAAAACATTAATCATCACCAAATGTAATTTAACACCCTTTCAAACTGTAAATATTGTATCAGACTACTGGTATACATGAAAAACTGCATTACATATACAAAGAATAGACACTGAACATGTATTGCGTGTGCCAGGTGTGATCCATGTGGGGGGAGGGGCACATAAGAACGGGAAATGTGTCAAATTGTTCTGTGTGTGTGTGTGTGTGTGTTTGTGTGTGCCAGGTGTGATTCACATGGGGTGATTGGGCACATAAGGGGGGGGGGACACATCTAGAGTATGTGTGTGTGGGTGTTTGTGTGTGTGTTTTATCTGATCCGGATGGTTACTAATTCCTTTTCTTTATGGCGGTCATTTTTGACCGGGAACACCATGGTTGTTACAAAGTTGACTAAATCATCCAAAATTCAATGAAAGTGGTGATCAGCAATTGTATATGTTCAAATGTCTACTGTGAAGGATATCATAAAGCCTTAATGCAATCGAATGTAAAACAAAAAAACTTATGATTGATGAAAGTAGTAAATCGGTCAGATTTGACCCGAAAACAACAGGAGAGTTCAAATACAACACACGCTGTATATTATTAAAGATAAATATGGTTTATGAAATCAGCATATTGCTCCTCATGTGTTTATAAAGAGTAAAACCAAACTAATTTCGAACCACATACAAATAGCTAAGTTATTTTAATTGGCTAATAACTATATAAAATGACAAAAACAGGAATTTATTTCCCCAATTTATTAAAAAAGTGGAGAATTTAAAAACAGAACGTACCACAAATGTCTTTAAGAATACATCATTAAAGAGCCTCTTACACAATAAAAAAAAATCAAAACCCAAATACACAGTATAGTTCTTGCATATTCATTGTTTATAGATAGACATGATGGCAGACGCCTGTATGACAAGGAGCAGGGTCTTCACTGAGCTCAGACCCCACTGTGGGATGGAGGCGGACACAAACACAGTCATGGGATTATCAATATTCAATCATTAATGCTCGTTCTGACATCGTCTCTCGCGGGAAAGACGGTGCAAACAGAGCAACAGGGATTGTGTTCAAAGACAACGTGATCATCGGGACAAGGCACCACTCTATAAATACATTTGTCTATACATCTAGGTATTTGTATATAGAATGCATGAGGGAAAGCATCCGAGAGAGCGAGAAGTGCCTGTAGCAGTCGTTCACTGCAGTTTGATAGTAAAAACATCTGCTCGAGATGATCTGTATTACTGCATCGCATTGGTGAGTTTTAACAGCAGAGCGGGTTCACACTTTAACGTGCACCCCTAGAAAAATATATCATGGTTACAAACATTTGCATATTTTTTGAATCCATTCATGCATAGACAAGTTACAGACAAGTCCTGTCTCTCTCACCGTTATGGCCAAATGCATAGTCATTTATTACAAAAAGCTTGTTTGAAAAACAGTAACAAAACCTCCCCGACCCGTTTAAGTAAATCAAGTGAAAGACACAACAACATATGTTAAAACTGTGCGGTAGGAAAAAGGTGATCATGCTATCACAAGTGAGGGTGTGTATGTAGCTAATAAGCTTATTAAACAATAAGAAGGGGGCTAGTTTGCTTTTTCTAAAATGTTCCTTCAAGCTAACATCTATGTACATTTTACAAGAAGACAAGGGGAGAGATGGCAGTGACACAAATGTGTATAATCAGCATCTTGTGACGTTAAAGTGAGTAATGGCCCCGACAGTTTGCTTTGTGGTTTAGCGGGGTCAAAGGGTTTGTTGTTGTGGCAACATATCAGGAAGTGATCATGAACACAGAGTTGGTGAGAGTGTGTTTTCCTTCCTCCAAACCTTCCTTTGTGTCCTCATCTGGCTTCACTGTCTCAATGCATTGTCCTGTTCCTCTGCTGCTGGTCCCAAGTGTTCAATAACCAGGTGAGAATAATGTATTTAATGGTTTTTTGCTGACCAAAAGTCATAGAAGTGTATAATAAAAGTATTTTCGTTTCTGGTCATAAGGCTAGCACAGTCTAACATTCTTCATCTTAGTATCTACTTTAAATAATAGAGAAGGTATTTTAACTGACAACCAAATGCTTTATTCTTCTATATGTTTTTGGAAATTCTTTGCTTAACTTGAGCGATCACTCCTTGGCATTAAGTGACTTACTGCTGCACAATGAAGCATGTCATGAAGAGAATTACAGCTGGTATGAGGATCTAACGTTGCTTTGTTTGACGTCTTTGGTCCTGTGTGCACGGCCCACAGTTATGCCACTACTCAGAAAATATATCATCATAATAATAATTACAATCAACTGCTGAATAAAATACAAAGACAGAGCTCGGGTTCAATAGAAATATTGCTACCAGGAAAGATAGACTCTTTTGCTAATAACATGTGAATCTAACGTCGTATAATACAATTTATAACCCCGTGTTAGGTCTGTGTTTCGGGTCAGGAGCTGTAAAATCTATCTGGGGGAAATCTGCAGAAGTGACGCTGCCACCAAATGACTTCTGTAGCACTGGGCCTTCAGTGTTGGTGTGTGTGCATGACCGTCAAGCTGGATTCAAACAATCCAAAGCAACCTCCAAACTCAGTTCTACATCTCTCTTCATCACTCTCTAATTTAAATCGTATACATTCTAGGTTCTCCTTCTCCGTTTTCAAACATCTCTCCATCTTTTTTATTATTTCGGCCCAGTGCCGTAACACAACTCGCCGACCCAACAGACCCCAGAGGAATAAATAAAAGCGGTAAATACAAAACAAGTCTCCATTATCAACAGCATGATTACCTATAGCGCCACTATTTATAAATGTTTCTATGTGACCTAATGGCAGTAAGAACCCCCCAAACAAGCACATCCTTAATTAAAAAAAACTTTGTAACACACATACACACACGTTCCTGCATGCAATATTTTCAATAATAAGGGCTGCCTACATGAAGCCCAATCTGTACTGAATAGAGAAAATACAGTGCGCAAAAACAGTGTGGCCTTAACTTGGTTTGATTATAAAAAAAGTGCATCTCTGTGGTGCTTTGGCATAGACTAGAAATAACACTATATATCAGCAGTAGTATTTCAATACATCTTCAAACGCTACATTGGCCCCTCAAGGCCTCCACCTGGTCATAGATAACCATGCGGGCAATCATAGGAATATCCTTTGCTGCACATCTGCTATTGGCAATAAAGTAAATTATTTTCTAGCGTGCATGTCTCTGGTGTGCGTATGTGTGTTACAGCAGATCGCAATCACTACAGTTTGTTAGGCAGCATCTCTCATAGCACGATATTGCTTCGTTTTTTTTTTGGCACCTCTCTGCAAAAACAACCTCAAAGTAGGATGTCCCATTTGTCTTTTTTTTTTTCTTTGTTTACCTCTCTACCAAGCATGCATGCAAACAGACACACATACACATGCACACTCTCCCTCCCATGTTTCATCAGTGAGCCCCTGCACTGTGCACAAAGCCCCATGATGCAGCAGGGTCCAGGCATGGCCTACGAGGGTTTAGGAATTGCCAGGGAAGCCTCTGAAAGTCACTCTGCACTCCAAACCAGCACCAGTAAAAATCTAAAGAGAAGAAAAGACCAAGAACATTTCAATGTGAGATACAACATGTCAAGTTAATGAGACTGATGATAAACAAGGGGAATTCCTTTCCTAAGTTGTATAACCCTATTTTGGCTCTTTTACAGTTTCAGTTTGATTTAGTCATTAGATTCGCTAATCGGTCATCCTGAGTTTTTACAGCTGTAGGTCATTTTATCTACGCAGACTACACAAAAGCAACCCTATCTTATTAATTGAGGTTGTTTGGTTCATATGTTTTCTGACACTCGGGGCTAAAAAGAGTCCCATCTTCTGTGTCTTTTGGTTAAAAAAAACCATTTAAAATTAATCTAATCAATAGTTTTACTCAAAACTGAAAAGTTTAGTAATCCAGATAATAATATAATACAGAAATGTACGTGATATTTCAAATATTATAACATTCTCATGCATGTTTTACATGTTTGTATCTTTTGACCTTTTGATATCTTTAGTTGGTTCGTCATATTTGAACAACCTATTTCCAAGAAACGTATGAAACATAAATCAACACATCTTTAGGAAAAATATATTTAAATTTGTACTTTTGAATAATTATTTTGGGGAGGAACTCAGTTTTACGGACATAAATCAACTGATCATAGTAGTCAACATTGTATGAGTCTTTTTTGACTAAGAACTTCTCCAGTCGAGGGCAGCCCTAATTTTTTGTCTTATTTAATTGTTATGCAGATTTATTGTTAAATATGTTTTAACTTAATTCTCCTATTCGCAGAAAATAGCACATCCTGTGTCTGAAAGTATTCTCATGTCTTTGACGATCAAAAATGATTCTTAATCTGACAATTTACATACATGATGTGTTGAGATTGGTAAAGGGAAATAATTCTGATACTAAGCTCAGTGTTCCCACCTAGTGGCCAGCAGGTGGCGTGATGGTGTCTCACTGGAAGTTCCCCCCCCCCAGTGAGAACTTGGAAAGGGCCTCCTGCAGCCGGTGGTGCTCCTCTTCGACAGTCTGCAACACACAAAATCAATATCACCTTAGGAACTGAGGACACACACACACACACACACACACACACACACACACACACACACACACACACACACACACACACACACACACACACACACACACACACACACACACACACACACACACACACACACACACACACACACACACACACACACACACACACACACACACACACACACACAC